TAAGAGAATTTGTTTTATGGAAATGTTTAGAATATGAAATGAATTTTAAAAAGCAAATTATCCCAATGTTTCCAGAGTTTATCTGAATTATGAAAATTAAGCAGAGAAAATAAAAGACAAAAACTGAAATATACTAACATTTGAATAAGAATTATCTTTGGGAAATAGAATTAGGAAGCTAGAAATGTTGTTTTACTGGTGTCACAATCTGGAAGCAAATATCCAAGTAAACTTGCAGTGAGAAGGAAAGTCAGAAAACTTACCAGTTTAGATTTGCTTAATGCTTGATCTCCCTAAAATTCTTATCTGTGGGGACGAAAGGAGAAGGTGATGTGGGGGACTAAGGAGACTTGCAAACTAGTCCTTGGAGAGGAACTGGACTGAAGGCGGGGGGAAGGTAACGGTCATCAGGTGTCTCACTGCCGGCTCCTCCATCACTGCGCCCCGCGTTCAGTGCAGACAACGCTTTCACCGACAAATGCCCACTTCCCTCCAGTTCTCAATCACTGAGCGCCCCAGGCACGGTGACCCGCACGGACCTCAAACTCTGACCTCACGAGTCTCAGTCCTTGATCTCCATACAGCTGGAATGCCTGACCACCACAGCCCCGCACCCTGGCAGCAAAGGCATCCCAGCCTCGGAGCCGCGGACGCCCACCGAGCCTCTCCCCTCCTTAACCTCTTCGGTTCCCGTGACCCCGCTGCGATCTCCAGCTATCACACCTCACCTCTGCGAGCTCGTCGGTTCCCGGCCGCACGCCCAGCTCCTGGGAACCCGCTACGGTGGCCGCGGGGCCGGGAACGACCCCACCTCCGGCGTCTCCTCAGGCCGGGGCATCCGCGCCGCGGCTCCCTGGGCGCTCCCGCGGTGAGCGTCGGCCGCTCGGGCCCCGGCCGTCTTCGCGCCGCTCAGCGCGGGGCTCGAGGCCGTGCACCTGCTTGTTGCCGCCCGGTTGCTTCAGCCCCTGCGCCGCCGCGCTGGGAAGTTAGAGACAACGCTGCGCAAACTGCACGGACGCACGAGAAACTGTCGGAAACGAGCGGCCCTGAGCGCGGCCGTGTTGGCGAGTGTCAGGGGTCCGTAGAGCGGGGAACAAGCGCCGGGAAAGAGGCGATGGGAGCGTCTTATCGGCTGGGATCTAAGTGGGCATCCCAGCCAGTGAGATTGGGCGTGGAGGGTGTGCGTGAGGGTCACAATATAAATTCACAGCCAAGGCCACCTTTTGTTCCAGGCCTGTTTGGAAAACACCAAGTGTTGAAATTTGAAAGTGTGGACTATGAAGTAAGTGGATACAAAAGCAGCTGTGATGCTGTCGTAGCTTAAGCAATGCGGTGCGGATGGTTTTCGAAGGAATCACGTGCACGCATTCCTGATGGCAGTGTCATCAGGTCTTAGCGCCGCTGCTCGCAACTAATGTTACTGGAAGAGGATTCTGGAGCGTGCTGTTTTGTCACTTTGGAGCTCTCTGCGCCCGCCTTACCTTTTCTCTGCTCTCTAGTCCAGGCTGCCCCACCTGCAGGGATAGTGAGCTAGGACAGAGACAAATCAAGTACAGTCGCAAGCTTTTAAAACAATATAAATCGCGGGCGCCTGGATGGCTCGGTCGTTAAGCCTCTGCCTTCGGCTCAGGTCATGATCCCAGGGTCCTGGGATCG